GTGGGGAAGATGAACTCAACACTCAGGCCATCATCCCATGCACAGTGAGCTCTTTGGAAAACATCTGATGTTTCATGTCTTGAATGCCTCCTCCAAAGGGCCACTTTTTGGAGTTTTTCTGGAGTGGTCACTCCCAGCCATTGGGAGAGCTGGCTGGGACACTGGTGGGCTTCTGTGTTTCAGCTTGCTGGAGGCACAAAATGTGCCCTGTTTTACAGGCAAATCTTGGGACGTCAGGGAGAGGTCACGCAGGGATCTCCATCACCCAGCAAACCCAGAGTGCACTGACATCCGCCAGCTCTGAGTTCTGATGAACTCCAAAGTCCCTCTCAGCCTTTATTTCTCCCCAGTTTTTATTTCCTGAGAGGAATCCCTGCAGTTCCCATGCCCTTTGCAGGCTGTGATACCCATAATTATATCAGGCCTGGAGAACTGGGCTAATTGTGGTGTTGATCCTAAGGTTGTTCCTTCGGCCCAGCAGGATGGCCTGTTCTCCTTTCATGTCCCCAGCTTAACAAGGCTCTCTTTAATTTCTCCTTAATAAAACTCAGGGCAAAGGGGAGCATTTAATGCTCAGCTAAATAAAAAACAGAGCATGCACCACACTGGCCCACTTCCTAAAATCCAAGTGCCTGTTCTGCAGCCATCCACAGGACGTCAGCAGCCAAATAAAACCTCCAGCACAGGAGCCTGAACGCTGAGAGAACCAGCAGCTCGCTCTGAGGCTTTTGTCTTTTCTTTTTTTTTCCCCAATAACGTGTTTTTATCGCTGGGAAGCCGGAAAAGGGGAGAGCATTAAAGGTTCCCTGCGTGGGTACACGGGAGCGCGGCGGCCGTGCCTGCACATAATGAGTTTTGCTGCCTCTGAGCAGAGCACAGTTAATAACAGCCCATAAAGCAGGTTTACCACCCCAATTGCCAGTCTCAGAAGCTTACTGAAAGCCTGTTCAAATGAGCATGGGCAGGGCTGCCTGGCTGGCTGGAAATCACCATCTTCTTGGGGGTTGAAGTGGGAGAAAAAACAGGAGTGCAGCAAACAAAGTCAGCTTCCTTTTGGCTAGAAGAGTTTTGCCAAAATCGCTTAAATTTGTGTGATGATGCCATTTGTTTGCTCCATCCAGAGCTGTCCCACCAGCTCATTGACTGATTATACAATTCCTTATAAAGCATCTCCACACTGGGCAGGGTTAATCCAGCTTTGGGATGCGTTTTTTCAAGCGTCATGCCTGGAAAACCCTCTGGGGCTCAGAGCTCCTTGACAGGGGACAAAAGTGCCACCACTTTTTCACTTTTTTGTCCCAAGAGCTGAACAAATGGGATGAGCCCATGGGAGTGGGGCTGATGGAGGCCCTGTGGATAAAATGCCCCCACTCTCCTTGCTCTCCACTGCCCAGAAGAAGATCCATGGGTTGAGTGGGACAAAATCCATCTTTCCTTGTTTTTAAGATGTGGAGTCATGCAGGAGCATTTCCAACAACCTTTGCAAGAGAAACCCTGTGATTGTATCACTTTTCCAACCCAAAAGGGCCCAGGAAGGTGGGCAATGCTCTGGGTAAGAGGAAAAAGGGCCCTGGAACATTCACTGCTCTGGTTTCAGAGCCCTGTTTTGCTGCCCATGCGTGGGATACGGAGAGCATCAATTCCCAGCCCACCTTCCCTCATCCCACCTGAGCTGGCATCACTCTCCCTGGCACAAGAACCTCTATCAAACCTCCACCAAGAGCACAAAGTGCTTTTTCTGCTTAGCCTGGACCAGAGTCTCTCCTCTTTCATCCCAGGATGGTTTGGGGTGGAGGGACTTTAAAGTTCAGCCCATTCCACCCCCTGCCATGGGCAAGGACACCTTCCACTATCCCAGGCTTCTCCAAGCCCTGTCCAACCTGGCCTTGGACACTTCCAGAGATCTAGGGACAGCCCAGCTTCTCTGGCCCCCCTGTGCCAGGGCCTCAACAGCCTCACAGGGAAAAATTTCTTCCAAATATCCCATCTAAACCTACCCTGAGAAGTGCCATTTCTCCTTTTGGAGAAGCCAGCTCTATCTCCCACACATGCTTTTCCATTTACAGCCCAAAAAGATGCAAAAAAAGCTGAATCTCCATTGTTCACTGAGCCCTTTGATTTCTCTCCATTTTCCTTGCCTTTGTCTGTGTGGGAATGTGCATTTGTAATGTATTTTAATATTTTCTGCAGTTGCTTAGTGGGTCCCTTTCCGAAGCCTTATGGACCACCATGGGCTGGGAATCCGGGATGGGAGCTCCGGAGAGAGACAGCCCTGTGCAAATCCAGCATCATCCCTTTGAAGTCCTTGGGGCTTCCACAGCAGCCAGAAGTAATTAGGGAATGAAAGGGATTGCAAGAGCCATGCTGGCTCCCTGTCAGCCCTTCCCGCTGGCTTGGAATAAAGCGGAGCTGAGCCGGTGCCGAGCACTCTTGGAATTACGACTCCAAACGTCGTGAGGCTCGCAGGCAGCTCTCCCTCAACCTCACACCACATCAGCACCAAAGTCACATGGCTGGCCCATCGAGCTGGGTGGCTTTCAGCTCTGATTTCCTTCCCAGACCAAGTCCAGGTTGGACAGGGCTTGGAACAACCTGTTTTAGGGGAAGGTGTCCCTGCCCTTGGAATGAGATGGTCTCTGAGGTCCCTTCCAACCCAAACCTCTGTGATATTGAATCTCTGAAGAACAACCAGCAAGAATCACCAAGTGACTTTGTGCAGCTCCAAGATTTCCAGGGGGAAATCAGCACTGGATCATCCAAATGCTTCTCCTCATCTCACTAAACCTCTTGATCTGTTGAGTTCTCCCTCTGCCATGGTGTGCTGAGCCTACTCTTCCCTCTGCAGGATCCATTCAGTGGCTTCTCCACCTGATTTGGGAATTCTGGCTGCCTTTTCCTCCCCTATGAAGCAAAGCAGGAAAAGTTAATGGCCTGTTGCTTAACAAGACTATGCCTTCCCCATTAATGGGTGCACTCACAGTCAGAGATGTCCCCTTCCCAAAGACACCACACCTGGAAAATCCCCTCTCCACCACTGAACTGAGCTCCATAGGGTGGCTGGAGGACATTACTTTGAGGTTGGACTAGATGTCTTTAAAGTTCCTTCCAACCCAAATCATTACTTTGGGGGTAATTTGGAAGAAAAGATGGAAAGAATTTTAAATTTGCAGTCTGGAAAGGTCTTTTTCCTTCTAGGCATGGCTTTAACAAATGTGTTCCTCTACACCTGTTTTAATTATCCACTCTTGCTTTTTTTTTTTTTTTTAATTATTCACTCTTGCTTCTGTGGACACCAGCAAAGTCCAAAGGGACCTCAGGAGGTCTCTAATCCCACCTCCTGCTCAAAGCAGGACCAGACTCAGAGCCGAATCCCAAATTCTGGATGTGCTTATGAGCCCTGTGTTATAATGATGGGCACAGATGTGAGAGCAGGCTGTGTTTGGGACAAACCACAAAAATCCCCATTCATCCAAATTCATTTGACTTTGTGGGAGAATTTTGATTTTGAAGGAGTTGGAAAGCAAAACCTTTAAGTTCGGACCCAAAAGCTTTGTTTCTTCTTTTTCCTATTGGTTATTCCACCCTTTCCTTCCATTCTGGATGACCATGATTTGTACCACCTCTACCTGGTGTTTACACTAAATTTTCCACTTCAGTCAGGTCACTCCTGCATTTCTGACTCCATTTCACACCAACTTCCACTCAGTGAAAAAACTTGGGCTTGTCTCCCTCATCTGGAACAAAAGCAAATAGAAAACCATGAGGACATTTCATTCCACGAGGCAGGAATTCCACTTTTTGGACAGCTTTGGTTGCTGTCAAGAAGAAGGGGAAGCTGGCTGAGACAGCTCACGAAAGCTTTGGAAGTTCATCCAAAGGCTCCAAGCTGGCAGTGCATCCCCAAATCCTTGCATCCTCTGCCAACATCGTGAGGATGGGATCTTTCTGGGTCCCCTCAAAGAACTGAATATGCAGTTCCCAAAATGCCTGAGGTCTCTAATTCTCCTAGGCTCCTTTTGAAGAATCCCAACCTTTTTTTTTTTCCCCGCCTTGTTTTTCATTCTGCTGCAGATAACCGGGAGTGGGCCCCTTGCTCATTGTTCTCGGTGTCACCTCCCACCAAGAAAAGTGAAGGAGAGGGGGGGTCAAAAGCCACATGAAGATATTAAAACAAGCAACTGGAATGTCTACAAACTGGTGGGAGAGCTTATTCCTAATTCACATATCCCTCTTTATGCTGGAAACAGCTCTTTAGCTATTTATGGCGTTCTGAGCAATCACTCCTGGTTCCTGCTCGGCCTCAGCTGGAGGGTTGGCCCATATGGCTCGTGCTGTACTTCAGTGGGGTGGGGAATAAAAACCCCCCAAAAACCCTAAAAGAGAGTGTACAGAAGTGAGCAGAACTTTTGGGATGGGCACATCTGGTCCCCACGTGGAAGGCCAGCCTGGGAGAAAGGCTGCTGACAAGGAAAAGCTGTGCTCTGTGGCTCTGGACAAGCTTCTCTCACCGATAGATTAAGGATATATAGACACACATCCATTATATGTGTGTGTGTAAAAATACACAGAGATTCATCTTGGGCAAGAAAGAGCTTCCAAATGTTTTCTTTTCTGAAGCTTGCAGACCCCCAGGCAGCACTGATTTATTGTGGGGCAGGGATGCTCTTCCCTGTGTGCTGCTGCAGAGCAGAGAGGAGCTCCAAAAGCCCCTGAGTTTTTAAGGAAAGGTCCTGCAAGCAGAATCAGAATGGACTGGGTTGGAAAGGACCTCAAAACTCATCCCATTCCACCCCCTGCCATGGGCAGGGACACCTTCCACTATCCCAGATTGCTCCAAGCCCCTTCCAGCCTGGCATTGGGCACTTCCAGGGATCCAGAGGCAGACACAGCTTCTCTGGGCACCCTGTGCCAGGGCCTGCCCACCCTCACAGGGAACAATTCCTTCCCAGTATCCCACCTAAACCTTCTCTGTGACAGTGGGAAGCCTCTTTTTCTGTCATTCCATCCCTTGTAAATGGTTTCTCTCCATTTTTCTTGTGGTTTCCCTTCAGGAACTGGAAAACCCAAAAGCCTTCTCTTCTCCAGGCTGGAAAAAAAGTGACAGATGTGAGGTGATAAATACATTTTATGTGAACTTTTTTCCTCATGTCAATCTTCTAACCTTTCACACAGAGCTGATGTCCTGGTGAGGGGCAAGACAAACACTTTACCATCCAGGCAGATCCACCAGGCCATTCACTGATGCCCAAAAACTGGTGCTGTCCTCTGGCCAGCAAAGCCTGTCCTGCTCTGCTCCCATGGAAAGGAGATGAAATTAAGAGGAGGTGCCTCCAAGCAAAGTCACCATCAGCCTTTCTGTACCTCCTTCCTGAACTCCAGACCTCCCATTGACTCATTTTCAGAACAAATAAAGCTTCTGGGAGGTTACAGCTGATCAGAAGGTGTCTACAGACACTCATGTGGGAAAGAGGCTGAACTGAGAGTAGAGGAAAGGCTGGCAGCTGGAAAACAGTGGGGGAAAAGAATTCAGAACTGTGGAATTGGTGGAGAATATTACAAAACACCCACAGCCTGTGCCCAGCCCTGGGCTTCTTGTTTCAATGAAGATACCAAGGGGCTGGAGCTTGTCCAAGGCAGGGAACAGAGCTGGGAAGGGTCTGGAGCCCCAGGAGAGGCTGAGGGAGCTGGGAAAGGGGCTCAGCCTGGAGCAAAGGAGGCTCAGGGGGAATTTCTGGCTCTGCACAACTCCCTGCCAGGAGGGGACAGCCAAAGGGTCGGGCTCTGCTCCCAGGGAACAGGGACAGGAGGAGAGGGAACGGCCTCAGGCTGGGCCAGGGGAGGCTCAGGTTGGAGATCAGGAAAGAATTCTTTGTGGAAAAGGTTATCAGGCCTTGGAAAGGGGCTGCCCAGGCAGTGGTGGAGTCTCCATCCCCAGAGAGATTTAAAAGCCACGTGGGTGAGGAGAGGCCTTGGCAGTGCTGGGGGAATGGTCTTAGAGGGCTTTTCCCACTTAAACAATTCTCTGATTTACATAGATTTATATAATCTAAATGGATTTTTTAGTGATTTAAACATTTTCCCTTCTGCTTTTTCAAAGTCCCTGAAAATGATCCCTCAATAAGGCCGTGATAAATACCAAGGAGTCTCAAATAAGTGCATTAGAAGCTGCCATTTGTTTTAGAAACAAGCAGGAAAAAAATCCCAATAGAAGCTCAAATCCTCTGTTTTCCTCTAGCAAGCCCCAGAATGGTTTTCAACATTGTCTTAAAGTTTTACAAGTCAAATAATTTTAGTCCAAAATACCATATTTCTGCAGCATCTACTGATACTGAACATGCTGTTTGAATAGTGAAAAACACAGAATCATTAAGGCTGGAAAAGACCTCTAAGATCATGTGTTCCTTGTATGATTTCCTGCTGGCTTTTTACAGGGACAAGAGAATGGTTCCATAAGGGCATTAAAGGGAACATTTCCTGAGTATTTGGGGGGTTTTATGCTACAAAACATCCAGTAAATGACAAAGACAACCTGTTGTTAAGAAGTTCCATAAGAATTACATTGTGTTTTCCTTAGATCAGGCCATAAACTCTTGAAACTGCAGGAAATTTCTTTGGCTGAAAAATAAAAATAAGGACCAGGGTTTGACTGAAAGGTTCTTATACTGGGCTTACATAGAATCCTTTGGGTTGGGAGGGATCCTAAAGCTCATCTTATCCCAAACCCCTGCCGTGGGCAGAGACACCTTCCACTATCCCAGGTTGCTGCAAGCCCCATCCAGTCTGGCCTTGGACACTTCCAGGGATGCAAGGCTTTGTTCATAAGCTTATTTCTTTGTATTTTTAAAGAACATGCAACTTTTCCCACTTTTTTTATTATTTTTTTTGCTAGCAGGAAATTTGACCCAGCCAAAAGCAGAAGCACAATCTAGAAAGAACATAAGACTTGAAAAGATTATCAGATTTCCAGCCCCCTGCTCCATGCTCTGCACCAATCTGGGAATCAGCAGCTTGCAAGACAGAGAAAATCCTGGGGATGATCCAAAGCAAAATCCATTTTCCCATTACAAGCAGGCTGAAAATAGAGCTGCAAATCCAACCCTTCTGAAAAAGGGTCTGCAGTTTGGATGAGACACCCCGAATCTGGAACTGTGGCCTACCATTTTGATGTGGGAACCCAAACCAGACCCGTTTCATAACGCTGCTTTCAGATGTGGCTGGAAAACTGCTGCAAGTGACAGATTTTCCGATGTTTTCCTGATTCCAAAATGGCTGCAAGTCCTGGTTGGAGCCAAGGATCAGGAGTCCCGCTAGCAAAACCTGTCAGCATCAAGTCTAGGACCATTTTTCAGCACAGTCACAAGCCTTTCTGAAACCCCACTCCCAACCAAGCTGCGCCATGGCAGTTTTCCATCGCTTTCTTGGAGACTGCTCGAAGCACAGAGCTTTGCATCCTTTTGGAAAATCTGGTTTTGGGGGAAGTTTCCTGCATTTTCTTGGCTCCCCTTCCAGTAACTGTTGTTAATGTCCCAGGCTGGTTTGAAAGATGCAAAATATTCCCATTTGCAAACAGAGCAAGTTTTAATTACTCCCAGCATTTGGCTTGGAAGGGGAGAGCCAAACTGAAAGAGAGGAGATTCAGATCAAATATTGGGAAGAAATTTCTCACTGTGAGGGTGGGGAGGCCCTGGCACAGGGTGTCCAGAGAAGCTGTGACTGCCCTGGATCCCTGGAAGTGTTCCAGACAAGGGTGGACAGGGCTTGGAGCAATCTGGGATAGTGAAAGGTGTCCCTGCCCATGGCAGGGGGTGGAATGGGCTGAACTTTGAGGCCCCTTCCAACCCAGACCATTCTGGGATTCATATTAATCAGATAAGAAAAAGAATTGCTTGAGGTACCCAAATACACAAGCCAGGGTATGATGTCAAAAAATAAACCTAAAGCACTGTTTGGATTATAGGAATGTGCTGCCAAACACAGGGAAATTTACTTGGGAGCCTTTTCTCCACCCTGGGTCTCTCCTCTCTTCCCTCCTTCCCCAGCCTCTCTCCCTGCAAGCAGGACCTTTGCCAATGAACACTTCCACTCATATCTGAAGGATAGGGCCTGCAAAGCAATGGGGCATTGAAAAAAAGATTGGAAATCATTTCCTTGCAGGAAGGAGCTATCCCACTTTGTCTTCCCTTCCTTCTGATTTTACAGCTTAGATCAGGGAGAGTCAGGAAATTACATCGTCTTAGGAAAAATAATATTAATACCAGAAAAATTAGAAAGGAAAGAGAAGAATATCAAGGAAAAGGAAATTTTTTCATTTCCTGCTAAAACCAATCCCACAGCTTCTTTGAGGTTTCAAAGGCTCATTATATTTACTTTTTTTTAAGTGTTTTGCCGTGACAAATTCCACTTTGCACATGCTCCTTGTTTTTAAACAAAACTTGGGTCACTATAAGAAGGAGGAATAGTTTCATCCGGTTTAGCATTTCAGTATTAAAGATGGGTAGATAGACACTGACAAACCAAAAGCCAATGCCTGCCCCATGATAAATCCCAAGCACTGCTCAGATTTGGTTTGGGAGGGACCTTAAAGCCCATCCAGTCCCACTCCCTGCCATGGACAGGGACACCTTCCACCATCCCAGGCTGCTCCAAGCCACATCCTTTGCTCTGAGCATCCTCTGAGCCAGAGAAACCTTTTCTAGGTAATAAAACAGGAAAAAGATTAAATGCCACGAGACACATTGTGCCTAAACACAGAACCCATTCATTTTTTGGTCAGACAGCATGGACAATCCCACTGTCTTACCTCTGCTCCTGACAAAAGCTGGTGGGGAAGAGGGAGAGAGCCAAGTTTTCTGCTGGATGGAGCTGAATTATTTGCTCTCTGTGTTAGGTTAACCACACCATGGAATGATAGGACCAGGTGGGTAAAACACATTCATCAAAGTGATTCATGTCTGGCTTTTGTAAGGAGATATTCTCTGACAGGCTGTACCATGCTCAGCTTAACTCCACCTGGACGGTCTTGGCACAGCTGATTCCCCACAGTTTACACAGAAATCAGATTTTTCTGTGGCAAGAGGCAAGTCAGTGTCATGTGCTGCACCCATCTGTAATTCAGCAAACACACACAGACCTGACACAGAGCAGCAGAGCAGGAGGGAGCAGTCCCCCAGTCTTCTGACCAACTTTCCTTAACCTTTTGCAGCTGCCCTGCTCTTGAAATACAACCCCACAAACTCTTTCATTCTGCCTTGCACTTTCCAAGGAGAGGAATGTGGTCTGAGCACCCCAGCCCTGTGGAGGAGGGATGCCCCATCTCACAGCTTCTCTAAAACCCGTGGGCAATCCCCCTGGCTGTGGTTTGGTGCTGGAGTGTTTCCCTGTAAAACAAGCGCTCCCAGCTGTGGGATTTATCATCAAATCAAGGGCTGGGCTTTGCTGGGTGCCCTGGGGTGAGACAGGCTGGGGGAGCTGGGAGAAAGCTCCAGAGACCTCAGATCCCCTTCCAGTGCCTGAAGGGGATCCAAGAGAGCTGGAGAAGGGACTTTCACAAGCACTTCTTAAACTTCTGTGCTTTGGTGCTGTGACAGACAGCGATGGCACAGCACCTGCTGTCCCCAAACCAGCCTTCCTCCCGTGCTCCTCTCCCAGCCCTGCTGCTGCAGCCCACTGCCCAGACAAGCTCCTGATTTCTCATTTTACACATCCCTCTCCCGGGAGAGCTCCTTAGATAGGAATCTTAGAGCAACAGGCACCAAAGCCTCTGTGAGCTTCAGCCCGTGGGCTGGACAAAATCAGCCCCTTATCCCCCATCTAAGGAGCATCCTCGGATGCAAAGCACCAGTTGTTTTCTTCTGCTATTACTGAAGGTTGAAACAAAGCCAGGAGCAGGGCAGAGGGTCCCCAGTGTCAGCAGGGAAGCAGGAAAGGCTCAAAGCAGCATCATGAGCAGAACAAGGTACCACACACCAGCCCCCTGCAAAGCCGGGGTCTCAGCCTGGAAAGCCTCTCTCGCTCCCTCCATCACCTCCAAGAGGAGCCTGCAGGAGTTTCAGCTCCATCCCAGAGCTGCTGGACCCTCACCAGACCAACATGCAGGACAATCACTGGGATGCTGGATGCTGCAACAGCATCCCAGTCAAGCAAATGCCTTCCATCAGGCACCCCAAGGCAGCAAATACTTTTGCTGGGGTAAATCAGCGTGACTTTAAGTGGCAGAGGAATCACAGGGTTACACTGAGCTGGTGACACAGCTTGTCCCAACCTCGTTTGTCTCTTTGGAACACCAGCCTCACACAGGAAATCATGCTACATCTCCAAGAGAGCAAACCATGGCTCTTCATCCATGCCCTTTTTCCAAGGTGTTATTCACCACATCCCAACACTGCCAGGCAGATCCTAAACCATCTTTTAAAGGCTCAGCTTTAAATCCTAAAAACCACAGCTGAGTTTTCAATATCCACTGAGAATTATTTCATCTGCCTCCTGGGGCAAGGCAGGAGATTGTTCTGCAGTCCCTTGTGGACAATGGAGAAATGTTGCTCCCAAAACCTGGACACCATCTGTCCTAACATCATCACTCAAGGACAGCTGGAGCACTGATATACTTGAAAACCCTCTTTTTTACCCCCTATTTTAAACACCTGATTTAACACTGTGTATTAATATAAGCATTAGTTAATATTCCACCCCTCCTTTCAGGTATCCTGTAAAATACAGGAGCTGGCAGACAGCAGTGGTTTTGGTTTCCCGACCTTCTCCTCATCACTCACTGTTTTGAAAACCCACCATGGCATCCCTTACTCTTCTCCTCAGTAAATTAAACACCCCTAATCTGTTTAGCCCCCCTGTGGAAGACTTTCCAACTCCTCATCCCTCCTGTCTCTCTTTGCTCCACTCGTGTTTCCACGTGGCTTGGGCACAGGAACGCTCCCCAAGGTGACAGCGCTCCTGTCAAGCTGTAGGATGTCACTCAGATGCCCTCAGGGTTGCTCTCCAATCCTTAAAGCAGTCAAACACATCCTGGGATGGGAGATGGAACATCTGGGAATAACCACTGCCAGGGCTGAAGGTGGAAATCATTTCAGGAAAGTGTAAAGGTGGAAATGTCTGCTGTAGGAGGAAGAGGTGAAAGAGTCAAACCTGCCTGTGGGATGGTCCTTTTGGGATTTAAAGGGTGATGGGGGATGACCACCTCCCCTGCCAGAGATAGTAAACATCCCAGCTTCTCCCGTTTGGGATTTCTTTAGGATGGTTTTTAGTGCAGCCCTGCAGCTGAAATTGAAAATATTACCTCTGGAAGGGCAACAACACAGCACCAACGCACTTGGCAGCACCCATGAGGCCCTGGCATTCCTGGTACATGGGGACATTCAGGGGCTTCAGTTTCAGGAAAAGGATGGGTTTGGAAACCCTTCAAGACTGCCAAATCAAGAGTAATTTGATTAGTCTCAATCAAAAGTATTTTGCCATGTAGAGTCCCTACAGCTAGGGAGAATATTTTCCACTTCTGCACTAATTTTATCAGGTTTTCCACTCAGAAAACAAACCATTTTTTAAGGAACAAAATGAAACCAAAAGCAAAACCATTTTTCTCTCCTCACAAACCCTCTTTCCCCTTTCTCTGATGGGGAGACAGAAAATTTTATGCGAGTTGGGAGGAAAAAGTATTATTTAGGATAATAATTATTCCTCATGAAAGCTGTAAAAAAATAGCACAATTTAATCCAAAAGAGCTGAATTTCCACACCTCTCCTGGGGTCCCCTCATCCTCCAAGCCATGATTTGGAAATTTGGGCTTTCCCGCAGCTCCACGCTGAGGCTGCAGGCGGAGGAGCGGGAGGGAAGAGGGAATTGGATCCCTCCAAAGAGAACTCCTGCCTTGTGGAAACTGGGATGGCCGAGAGCCTCTTGCAGCTCATTGCAGCACAGCAGACGAGCTCTGGTGGTCTCCATCCAAGGGTGGGCGAACATCCAGCCTGGAGACCCCTCCATTCCTGCACGACAGCAGCTGCTGAGTGCGCTCTGGGCAGGGAGAACATCCAGGGATGGAATACCTGGAGATGGGACTCCAGCACCTCCCTGGGGAAGGGCAAGAGGTGGCCAGGTCTGTTTTGACCCTGCACAGTAGCCCACAGCACAATGAAGATGATCCCTGAATGAGATCCAGATGTTCCCGTAACAAACTGCTGGCTTTCTCTAAAGCTTCCCAAGGGAAGACCACACAAAAGAAATTAAGGATGGAGTCCAAGCCCAAGCAGGATCTAACCAGTCCAACTTAAATTCTAATGCAGCATCCATCTGGCCTTCATCCCAAGATGGGATGTGCAAGTAAATCCGGTCAAACTCCAGGACATCCGTGTCAGTCCTCGGCCAAGGTGACACCCCCAAGGTGACACCCCCAGCAGACGGAATCCTGCTGCCCAAGGCTCTGGGCACAAGCCAGTGATAGCTGCTGTATCCATCTCTGGAAAAACAGAGGGATTTTCCTACCTGTCACCAGTCCCTTTCTCAGGGTTTTCCATAACTCTCCATGCACATGGAGATTTTATTTTTCCCTTCTTTTTCAATTACGTGTCCCATTAACCACCTGCACCCCCTGATTTGCTGAAGGCTGGCTGAGGTTTTCCAGCTGAAGAGGGAAATGAAACAATGATCTATTGCTGCTTCCAGCTGCCATAGGATGATGCAAAACTTCATCAGTAGTTTGTGAAATGCTCTCACTAGCAGGGAAAAAAGGACTGGGAAAACAGCAAACCCTTGCTGAAGATAAATTCCACCCCATCACCCTCTCAATTTGCTTCTAAATAAATGCGTGGGGAAGCAGAAGCCTTCAAAGTGTGTGCAGCTCTAAGCTCTCTGCTGGCTCCCAAACTCCTTCCAGCAATGCCACTGCTGCTGGTCATTCCCACAGGGTCACTTTGCTGAGCACACACAGCCCAGCTGCAGGAAGGAAGAGCCACCCTCAGGGGCCAGGAGATCTCCCTGTGGTGGGATCTCAGCAAGAGGTGGCTACTCCAACCAGAGACCTGAAGATGATCCCCTCAGGCCTCCCTTGGCTCCAGGTCTAGAAGTCCTCCCAGGCCAGCTCTTCCCATGATAAATTAATTTAGTTGACAGTCTGGCAAGTGGCTTTTTTTAGAGCTCATCAGCCCCATTCCTGGTGAGACCATTCCCGTGAGATTTGCTGACCTGACGCAGTCCTGCCAGGAATGACAGCTCTCCCTGGCTACTCCTCAAAGAGGTGGACAGCAGGACTCTGAGCAAGGCAGCCCCTTCCAGTTCACCTCTGCTGAACCACGTGAGGAGGGGCTTCACCAGATTCCATGAGGAATTTGGCTGGTTCCCCACCCTCACGTTCCTCCCCGACCATAAAAACCTCTCCTCTCCCCGACCCAGCCCACGTGAGTCCTGTGAGACGTCTCAGAGACCACCCAGCTGGAGCTGTAGAGCACTCAGTGACTGATAAAAACAACAATTGCATTAAGTGAGCCCGTGCTCCTTGCCAGGAAAATCAGCAGTGGGAAAATCCCTCCTTTAGGGAGTTCTGCAGCCAAGGACCGGCCCTCAGGGTTCATGACTGACAAGATGCCCCACGCACACTCAACAGCTATGGGGGGAATGTGGGAAGAATGACGAGGCTGGGGACTTCCCTTAAATCCTGCTTCTGTCCTCATTCCTCAGAGGGAGAGTGATCTGGTCAGTGATCCAGGTGGAATGGTCAGAACCCAGGATCATTTATCAAAGATGCACCTTCTCTCCCTCCAGCCCACTTGTTCTTAGAACCAAACCAACCTGAGGATATTGGGGCAGGAGGAAGAATCACCTCATTTGTTTGTCAAACAGATTTCCACCAAGGATCCCTGAGGACGGGGCCGCATGTGCCAGGTGAAGAGTGTGGTGGATAATGAGGAGCCACGAGCCAAACCATGGATCACCGAGGAAAAAATTCCACAGGGGCGAAAGATGAACACTTCAAGTAGTTTTACTTTGCTGAAATGCAAAGAAAGGAAGAAAGAAGCTTGAGGCTTGTCCCTACAGAGCTGCCAAGTGTTCAAAATGCCCTGTGGGGCTGAAATGCTGTGTCCATCTTCCAAACCTTCCCAACATTTGCCCTCAAAGTAATTCAGGAATGTTTGTGGTTTCCTACCTGTTTTTGCTGGAAAGAGCACTTCAGTGCTGGACCAGAGAGAACTTTGTGCTTTATGCACAGAATTGGATTTTTCTGGCTGTATTTCACCCTTGGAGTCTAATCAGAAGTTACTCAGATAATTCTACAAAGTGAACAGAACATTAACGTTACCTGAAAAGATTTGTCACATCAGAATCGCAGCAAGAGCTTGCACAAACCTTGGCCCAAGATGCAGAAGCTGATTGATGCATCAACTAATAAATTTTTCTTCTGTTTTCTCCTGTTCATAGATTATTAAAGTCCCTTTTCCTCATCTCCAGCCAGTTTCTAATCCCTGCTAAGAAGCTGCCTTGACACCTGGTAAAGGAACAGTAAAGTGGTAGGACAGGAGAGCAGGCAACAGCAACAATTAATGATTAAAATCATTCCTCTGAGCCTCAAATTCACAGGAACCTGCCAAAAATTCTTCCAGGTGAGTTTAGAACCACATGGGATGACAACTGTGCACAGATAACCATGAGAAAAAAGTCACCAGAACACTTTTGAAATGAATATGTTCAGCCACAACCAAGCCTTCTCCTTAGAGCCCCAGGGCCCATTTTTCCTGCTTTGGATCAATTTTAATCAGAAAGTTTATTTGTCCCTAGCAAGGACACCAAATTGAATTGTGCTTGGCCTCCTTTGGATTCCTCTAATGGGATCTGGGGATGGTGCCACCCAGCCAGATGTTTCCAGCACCTTTTGACAAGAAATACATATTTTTCTTTTATTGGACACCCTGGCCAGAGAACCCATGTGGAATGTAAACTCTGTGTGGAGAGATATATATATTTTCTCTCTCTGTTTATAAACACAGAGAGTCCAGTTTTTCCCCCACCAGGGTTAGATGAGCTCAGAATTTATCAGCATTGGAGATCACACTCCTGATTTACACGAGAGGAAGAGGGAAAATTGTCTGTGGGAGAAAACAAAAATTAAATTAGGCAATTCCCATTTGCATGGGGATTTGTGCACTTGTGCATCGCCAGCATTTAGATTCTTCGTAATAAACAAACTTGCCTCAACACCCACAAGAGCAAACCTGAAATCAAGAGGGGCAGTCAGGGAAAAACACCTTTGTGTTCCCCAGAGGGAAGAGAGGCTGCTCAGACCTGGAAAATTCCCTTGGCAACGCCTTCCTTTGGCAGCTGCTCCGAGATCCCCGAGCCAGGCCTCAAATTTTCCCTTGGAGTAACCTGGGATAGGGGAAGGTGTCCCCACCCATGGGTTGGAATGAGATGGTCTTGAAGATCCCTTCTGACCCAAACCATTCTGGGATCTGTAACTCCAGGTTCCCTTTCCTTGCTGCTTCTCCTGCCTCACTCCTGGGTCTTCTTCTTCCCCACAGGGCTGGTCCCAAGAGTCACCAAAGGCAGATTTGCTAGGCTGGGCCTACCTTCTTCCACCCAGCTGCTGCCCAAGCCTTCAACACCTGCCAAAAATCTCTCTGTGATTCCAACACAATCAGGCACGAGGCTTCTGGTCATGGGCTTTAAACCAAACTACATTAATTTGATAATTTGCCTTCACATAGATGAGGAAATAAGGATGGTTTGCATCAAGCATCCTTACGAGACATTAGCGAAGCCACCAATGTTTTGACATCCCCAAGATTATGGTATTTGTAGGGCTGGGGCTCTCATAATGATGAATTTTAGGGCTGAGCTCTCACAATGATGAATTTTCTGGCCCCAGCCCTACTGTTATTGTTGAAATAACACAAATCCACTGGTAACAGATTAAAACACTCTCCATATACATTTGCCTGTACACATTTATAAACGTACAAACACAGAGAAGAGGGGAGAGATAAATATCTGCAGGTCACAAGTGAGCAGTTTTAGGAAGCTTTAGGACACGAGGGAGGATTTTGTTTAGAGTAGAACTTCCCCCTTTGTCTCTTCAGGATGAGATCTCCAACATCTGTCCCCTGTCGCCTTCCAGCGGAGCCAAAGGGTGCCCTGAGCACAAAACCCTGCACAGAGGGGTCACCCTTTGGCAGGGAATTCACCTCATTTCGGAGGGATGGGGAGCTCTGACTGAGCTCATCCCCTGCCAGATGGGGCTGCAGAGGTCTGCCAGGGTGCTGCTCCTTTGCCACCCTGATTTAAAGGGTTGGGGATGACATCTGCCCAGAGATAAGGCTCATCAGAGGCCTTGCATCTTCCTCCCTCCTTCCTCACTATTTCACAACTGTCTGGACAGGGGTGGAGATGCCTCACTCCTTTAACCCATTTTTTAGTACTCTTAGGGAGGGAATCTGGGATCATCGAGCTTAATGAAGCTCAGCATGTTTAGAAAAGCAGAAGAGGGCAGAGAAAGGATAAATACACACAATAAAGTCCCAGAAGGGGGAGGAGGAGGCACGAAACAGACACTGTTGGGAGCAGGAGAAGACCAAAACCTGGCAATCCCAAGCAACTGAGTGCCAGAAGAGCATCTCTCCAGGAGCAAGCAATAAAAACCCAAATGTTTTAGCAGCAGAACCAGACTGAAATAGGCCCCAGGACACAGAGAGGGTCTCCATGGCCCAGGCTAAGCCTTTTCTTTTAATCTGCAAGAAGCACTGCCAGTCACATCCCTCATGTGCATCCACGTGGGTGATTCATCCTGGGACACCAACAGCCTGGAACATCTCAACATCTGGTGCCTTCAGGACAAGCAGGTGGCCCTCAGCCAGAGATTAGGAAAGGTGCCCCAGGAAGGGAAAGCTGTGACAGCTCCAAGTCAAGCCCAAGCACTCCTTTGGGAGATTAGGATCTGCCAGCAGCAGGGAAAGATTGATATCAACCATCTTCCCTTGCTCTGGAATATCCCTTTGGGGGGGGTAGTGCCAAGCCACATGGAAGCACAACCTCCCTGCATGCCAAGCCTTCCTCCAGCACGGCTGCTCCGGAATCCCTGCTGGGTTTGAGCAGCAATCCCGGCCATGAATCACACAAATTCCTGTCATAAACGTCTGGCAGCCTGACTTACACCCAGGCTTCTGTGGAATGACAAATGCCTGCCCTTTTCCCAGGAATAAAGCACAAGAGCCCTCCTTCCTTCCATTCTCCCTTCCAGGGGAGTTTGGGTTTCTCTCCCTGTTCCAGACTGACTGGAAGCAAAGATGGGACAAAGATGTGAGATAAAAAGCCCCAAACCACAACAGTATATCTATTTATGATACTCCTTTATTTTGCAGCTGACTCTTGGTCCCAGCCCAAGTCCATTTTTCCCTTTAGCTCCAGAGAACAAGGAATTCCCAGTGGATGTTCAGGGACACCACAGACCAGAAGATGAGCTGGACAATCGTGGCAGCTGCTGTCACAACCCCTGTGTCTGCAGGGCTGGGGTTTACCCAGCACCTTTGGATACATCTTCCCAAGGGAAAGGCCAGATAAATGATCCCACAGGACTCTGGGATGCACCTGGGACAGGGTGGGTGTGCAGTCTGAGTCTGAACTTGTTTCACAGCTCTTTTGCTTTCCTGAGAGAGCCAGACTGACCTGAGGGACCAGGGCTGCAGCTCCCTGCAGTGATCCCAGCACCCCAGAGAGGTGACGGGAGCAAACGTGCTGGGAAAGCCACTGGAAAGCTCCTGCAGGAAGAAGTTTCCCGACTTAAGAAGCATAAAATCAAAATCCTTCCCTGGACAATATCCCTTTTGTTTAAGGAGGAAAGTAGCCCTGAAAAAGCAAAGTTTTTCTGTTGGAAACCTTGAATAGCCGAGCCCTGGGAGCCTGCTGAACTCACTTTCCACAGCCATCAGGAGGAAGGTGAAGCTGAAATACTCCATCCAGGAAAGGAAAACAAAACCTATTTGTTCCCTGCCCATTTTCCTGCTCTTTTTTTTTCCTTCTCTCTCGGAAGGAGGGGACCCTCCTGCTACAGTCATCCACGAGGGGAGCAGGGCCTTTTCCTGCTCCACCTGCCTCCAGTTTATCCACCCTTTCCCTGCCGGCTTGGGGGCTGCACCATCCAGCCCTGCTCGTGTCCCTGACACCTTTTCCATGGAAAAGCCGCCCAACAGAGACCACAAGCATGGCAAAACAACCTGTGCCAGTTTAATGAGCACAGCCCTCCTCATTCAAACGCTCTGAGCACGCAGGATAAAGGGGAGAAGAGCCACAAGGAGGTGAAGAACTCCCTCATCCCAAAGGAAAGCACAGCACCCAGGTACCCAGCTGCTGGAGACATGCCTTCCTTCTGAGAACTGGATGCAAGGTTCAGGGATATTTTTCCACAGGGTAAAATGAGCTACACCACCCAAAAAGAAGTTAGTTGTAAATAAAGAAATGAATAGAATCTCTTTCCATTCCAGCTTGAGGTGAAGCTAGAGGTGCTCCTCTCCCAGTGAAAGCAGAGGATGTTGGGGAAGAACCTGCATTTTTGTGAGGCTGAGCACCACACAAGTCACAAACACCCCAAGGCTTAGCCTGCTTCCAGGCCAGGTGGGCTCCTCACTCCTTCCTTCCCAAAGACCAGGAGCACAGGAGTGGGCACCATGAGAAGGGAGGGAGCAGAGCAAGGGGCACAGGGAGGAGCAGGGACCACCATGAACCCAGAATGATTTTCCCCACCAAAGCTCCCACTCAGCAAATGGACCCAACCTGGGCAATATTTGTAAATTTGGTACAGCCAAAGGACTCACACCCTGGGTCCTTTCCCTTGGGAAGCCAGCAGGACTTTTACCAACACCACCAGCAGCAAACTCCAGAGCTGGGCTCCTCATCCAGCCACACAGAGCTGCTTTAACTCAGACACAGCAGGAAAAAGGAATAAAAGAAATAAAATCACTTGGTGCTTTTGTTGGCTCCCCTTTTTTGCCAGGTTAGAGAGTTAAATCAGGGGCTGACAAGTGCTGAAGCCAGCACTAGATAAACAGGGAGAGCAGGATTAGGGCAAGGATGATAAAAAAGGGAAATCTCCACCTTTTTTTTGTTTTTTTTTAAAGACATTGCATTGTTAGATTGCTTCCAGCTGCCTTCCCCAACCCAAACCCTGGGAACCAGGATGGCAAGGAACAGCTACCAAAGCCACCAGCCAGGAAATGCAGAGATTAAGGAAGAAAGTAACTAGAGCCAAACACAACCTGCCCAAGGATCAAACTCTGGGCTGGGCAGCCTGAGAGCTTGATAGAACCAGCCAGAGGAGATAACCCAGTCACAAAGCCAAGAGGGGCCATCTGGAGCCATTGTGTTTGGCCTCAAAACCCAGATTCCAGCCCCAAACTCTCCTCTGTGGGAGGAAGAAGGCAGCTGGCCAAAAGCAGAGGGTGGAAGGCTCTTCACATTTTTCAGGTTGACCTTCAGGAACACAACCTGGGAAACCCAAAAATTCCCCTCTTAATTCGTCCCCAGACACCTCCTCACATGACAGGGAGCTGACACCTGATGGTGATGGAGATGGCCTTGCACAGGCTCCTGGAGCAAAAAGGGAACACAGAGTCCAAGCCATCCCTCTTCTAGGTCCTGGCATCCACATGCACGACAGATAAGAGTGAAATAAGTCTTTTCCAGGGGGTTGGAGACAAGAGGTTCTCCTGGAGTGCTTCTTCCCACGAACAGAATGGCTCAGCTGGATTCAAAGCAACAGCAGTGACATTTGGGGTGGGGGGAACAGGGGAGAGTCAAAATAAAAATGATTGAGGAATGGTGAAACAGCTTCAAAAATAAAGCAGAAGAAAATAATTTTGGGAGCAGATAGAGGGGATTGTGTCTCCTCCCTGACTCCCTCCAAGTTCGCTGGCTGCACCCACTTTTCACTCACTGGGGAAGGACAGGCCCACAGCTGCCTTCTCTTGGCAAAAATCCCTTCTCCAGACCAAGCAAATGACATTCCCAGTCTCCAACTGACTTTGACCCTTCCACCTGTACCTACCTCCACCAGGCTCCTCCTCAGAGGCAGAGCTTGAGGGGTTGGGAGCACCAAAGGTTTATTTATTGGCAGAAGGAACCCTGACCACATGGTCTCATCACAGGTCTTAAAGCACCTGGTCCCCACACCTGAGGCCCCACTTCTTGTGCTACTCCTCAGCATCTCTAGGACCAGCCCCACCTGAGGTAGGCCTTGGGCACCACCAGCACCCAAAGGGATCTTTTCTTGGGGGTTTTAGGACTGTACAGGGTCTTCTTATCCCTAGAAGAATTCCTAGCACAGATCCCCAGGATTGTTATTCCATCCCCCTTTGTCCAGGAGAGGAAGATGCTGTCACCTGGACCAGGCTGGAAGACAGCACTGGAGCCCAACAGCAGCCAGATCACACTTCCTCACCCTGGAAATAATCCCCCTGCTGCATCCCTAGGGATGAAATGCCAGCGATTCACATCTCATCTGGGAGAAAATTGAAGAGCTAAACGTCTCCTCCCTTGGCAGAGAGATACAGAGCCCTGGAATTCCTGTTTCTAGAACTGCAATCAGTGCAAGCACAAATTATGTCGAATCAGTCAAGAGTAGAAAATTGCCATCAGAATTTCTCTCTTTTTTTTTTTTTTTTTAAGAAAAAAAAGGCAATTTAAACCCACTGTGGCTGCTGAGCTTTCATAAAAGCTTTCCAAGCCTTCATTTCTGCCTTTTGTGTCACCACAGAAGACACACGAGATGCAGTGAATTCCCCTGAGTTAATTTGAATTATGCCACGAAACAGATGTGTGCTCTGGTGCACGGAGAACCCTTTTTCCTTCTTCCATTTCCAAACTACTCCTGCCTCATCCCATTAGCTCTTCTTGTCCCACTGCATCCCCTGACGTGACATAACGAGTCCTGACACCCTCATATATCATCAGGAGAGACGGCAGCAGCTCCGCTCGCCTTGGGAAGAGCAGCACTTGTGCTGCAGGTTTGATGGGGAGCTGGGGCTACTGTCTTCAATTTGGGAGAGATTCCCCTTCCTGAGCCAATTAAAATTCTGCAATCAGGCAGATTACAGGAATGAAGGTGGAATTAATGGGTGAGTCATATGGAATTTCACCCTCTGGGCTCGGCTCCCAGCTTGTGGGAAGAGACATGGATTGGATCTTCACAAACACCCAGCCTGGCCTCCTGTGTTAGGGTGGAAATTCCTCTACCAAGCCCAACAAGCTAGGGCTGAGGAGGAATCTGCCACTGCAGGATGGATACAAACTCAGGATGGAGCTGAGAAAAATGCACAGGGTCCTTTGGAGACAGCTCTTCCAATGGTGGAACTCTTCTTACCTTGGGAATGCAGCAATTTCAGTGCCTGGCAGGGCATTCTGCTGCTCCAGTCATAGAAACCCAGAATCCCAGAAAGGTTTGGGCTGGAGAAATCCTTGAGGCTCATTCCACCCTCTGCCATGGGCAGGGACACCTTCCACTCGACCAGGTTGCTCCAAGCCCTGTCCAACCTGCCCTGGAACACTTCCAGGGATGGGCACAGGTTGAGGACACCTCTGCGTGGAGTTTTCCTTCTCACTCCTGCCATGCTGAGCACAAATGACCATGGAAAAGTCACCCTTGGGCACAACCTGATGTTGATTTCCTCAGTTCCCCTCCACCAGAGATGTAAATCCTCCTTCTCAGCCCATCTCTCTCCATTTCTGTTGTTGTCATGACTCAAACTAACCCCAAACACCCAAAAGTACATTTGCACACACCCCCTCTTGTGGGGCAGCACGCTCAGGGTCACATTTCTTGTCCCCTTTAGGTAAGCTGCTCTGAGAAGAGCTCAGTGTAAGGTGAATTTTCCAGATGTGAGCCACTCTCAGCATCTCATGCAAGGGGGAGAAAATAAAAGCCCAATGTGACAGCATTTCTGGAAAAGGAATGCAGGGAATGTGTTGTAAATAATCCCCCCCACCACGGAGATGGTAAATGGAGCCCTGAGTGTTTGAAACACTGGACTTGGGAGAACTGGTGAGAATTTTGGAGCAGGGGGGGCGGTTGTGGAGCCTCTTTCTCAAATTTTTGTTCTTCCCATTCCTCGATTTCTTTTTATTGAGAGAGATTTTTTTTATAGAGAGTTTTTTTCTCTGCCTGACTCTGCTGCTGGGCCCCAGGATGGGTAAGCAAGGGAAAACCTGTGGCTGTGTATTTACTGTCACTGGCTCCAGGCTGGCTCCATTCCAGGGAATCCCAGCCCAAACCATTCCATAAGGCCACTCTGCACAGCACCTTTCTGCCTGTCACACGGAAAGATGGGTGTTTTCCCACCTTGGGAAGATCTTTATCCAAAAACAAATAAATAAATAAGAAAAGAAACAAACAAAGCACCCAGCAATTTTGCTTCCCCTTAGTGAAAATATTTTAATGATCCCAGATGAAGGAGCCAAGCCTGACAGGGCACATCACTTTTGCTTTCCGTGGGTTTGGTTTCTGGGCTGAGTGCAGGAATGCGCTTAGAATGCTGTTTCCCCTGTATAAAAACACTGAATTAGCAGCTGTCCCTGTGCAATATTGCTAGGTGCAGGATACTACAGGCCAAGCAAAAACCTGTACAAAATGTTCCTATGAAACTGCAGAGTGCTTGGTTTTCTTTCCTCCATCCCCCGAGTCCATCAGTTGTTCCACCTGCTGGTAGGAACAAGGCTCTCCTCCACAGAGCCTCTGTCAAAAAACCTCTGCTCTGCAAGATCCAGGTGGGGTCAGGGGCCACTGGCCAGCTGAAAACACTGGTCCCAAAGAGTGTCTGGAGGTACTTCAAGGCCAGGTTGGACAGGGCTTGGAACAACCTGGTCTAGGAGAAGGTGTCTCTGTCACCATGGCAGGGGGTGGGATGAGACGATCTTTAGGTCCCTTCCATCCCAAACCACTCTGGGATTCTGTGACTGCCTGGGGTTCAATTTTTTGGGATGATTTTCCTTAAGAGTGCCTTTAAAGTGCAGCAGGAACAATTGAGGGTTAACAAGGTTAGGCATTATGTCCAGATGACTATTAACAGATGACCCAAAGCAAGGGTTGTATTAAAAAATGCCTTAATTAAAAAATACAAGTCAGAACCAGTTTAAGCTCCCCACCCCCGGTTATATTCCTTAATTAGAAGGCTTGGACACATCCCTCAGAGTGATGGATGAGCTGTGGCTGCCTCGTGGCACCACATAGAGGGACGGGACACGGCTCCCCAGGCTCGGGGTCGCACCAGTTCGCTTCGTTCCAGTTCTCCTCTCTTTTCCTCTTCCCCAGAAATTAATGGGCTGCAGGGATTTGGGAGTGAGAAATCATCCATGCAGCTGCCCTGCCTGAATCAATCCCCTCACCAAAAGTGCCAAGCACAGGCTTTGGGCCCCGTAAACCCCCACACCCCAATTCCAGCACGTTTCACCAGGGGGTTTCCAGTGAAGCCTAACCCCAAACCAACACCGTCACAATTCCGTGCTGGGGGAGATGGACCATCCCCATGAACATCAGCAGAGCGCTCCTGCCTGAGACACCCACCTGGCATTTGGGAAAAAAGTGCTTTTACACAAAAAAAAAAAGAAGAAAAAAAATCAGTTCTTCTGCAAAAGAACTGGAGAAGAGCATGGGGAAGTGTCAGGAAATGAGGTGAGGAGCTGAGTGTCTCACCCTGGATAAATGAAGAGCTTCAGCACTGGAAAAGAGGGAAAGCAGGATGCCAGAAAACAGATTGCATCCTCAGGAAAAGTTTAAACCCTCACCCCCAAAACCTCCAAGCCACCAAAGAGACAAAAAACCCCAAATGAAATAAACCCTTTGAAAAAATCCTTTTTATTTTATTTTTATTTTTTTACTTCAGTATAACCCATTGCCCACTCAAATAACTTACATATTTAATTTATCTACTGCCCTAAGTAGAGCTATTGCTGCACAGCTGGCAATTCCTTTGGGAAAACAAATCAGCAATCCGATGGAAAAAGCCACAAACAGCAGAAGGCTTTCCAAATCAGAGGAAAACCGAAGGCATTTCCTTCAGAACAAGGTTCATTTTTTGGCTGTTTTCAGCGTGCAGGAAAATTTAGGGGGTGCTCAGTAGGTACTTCAGATAAAATGGGATGATCCCAGGGATATCCCATGGGATGAGGGAGAGAGAGAGAGGGGCTGAGAGTGGAGCACTGAGACCTTTAATTCAAAACTCTGCTTTGGTACCTGTGTTGTAAAATCTTCTGTTCTTGTGTTGTGGGTGACAAGCTCTGTTAGAGGAGGGGAGAATAAACTTTCTAAAATGCCTCTTTAAAAGCTCGAACTGAAAAGGAAGAAGCCAAACACAATATTAAAATTTTGGTGTTTAAATATATTTTAAAATATTTAAATATTTAAATGTAAATATTTAAAATATCCTGGGATTTTAAACACTGTTCCTGTGCTAAAGGAGACCAGGATAGTTCCCCAAGGGGAAGTTGATTCCTGGAGCTTCATGGCTCAGCTTGAGCATTCTGAAAATAACATAATATAACATAACATTAGAAAATAAAATAAATAACATAACATAACATAACATAACATAACATAACATAATAAAATAAAATAACATAAAATAACATAACATAACACAACATAACATAATAAAATAAAATAAAATAAAATAAAATAAAATAAAATAATAAAATAACATAATATAACATAACACATAACATAACATAACAAAATAAAATAAAATAAAATAAAATAAAATAAAATAAAAATAAAATAAAAATAAAATAAAATAAAAATAAAAT